TATGATCTTGTTTCCTTCTATGTATGTATGAGATTCTCATAGAATAAAAAATTATAATTAAGATAGAACCCATCTTACATACACGTTCAGTCCCTGTCACCTCTCACAGAATCGCTGCTTTAACTATTTGTTTTCTCAGACTCTGTTCTATAAGCATCATGAAGAGTCAGAGACTTGTACGGGGTGGGGCAGGTATTTAATTGTATCTTGGCAAAGACTCATAGACCATATTGTGCCGACCACTGAACTTCAGTTTTTACATCCTCTCTCTTCACCTATGATTACCTTATTTCATCATCTGAATTTTTAAAAAGAGATGTCCTGCAGTTATGTTATGACATATTTATAATTCTTTTATTTCTTGAGATAGATACAAAATAATACAGTCTAATAAGTCAGGCTTTAACATATGAGTGATTATTATGGCATTTATTTTTTTCTAATTGACCAAAAGCAATGAGAACACTGCAATAACTGCAAAGGGCCTAGAGTTTCAAAGGATCAGTCTGCATCCATGCTCTGTATTTAACTTGAAAACCGTTCTGCAGGTTTATGTTTAAAACAATTTTTTTTCTAAGCTTGAGAATTAAAAACTCCCAAATGCAGGGTGCATGAAATGCCATTAAACCTAGCATAAAACTTGTTGTATCTGTCACATAAAGAAAATGATGTATCCTGTGTGAAAACGGAATATCAATTGACAGGAGTCTATGGAGCTGGCACTCAGTCTTTGAGACATGTGTGTCTAAAGTTCCAATAGCCCCTCAGCCTTTGGAAATCCTAGAAGTCAAATGATATTAGCAAAAATGGGGAAAATCATTCTACTGTTTGGGATGACTCCCACATATGAATTACTTAATACAGTGTTTCGAGAGCACTGGAAGAATATTTAAACATTATCCCTGTCCATGGAAAACAAAGCTATAAACCCACCCAAGTTCTAGAAAGAATATTGAAAAGACTAAGAAGATTAAAGACATGCCTAAGAGGTCATTCCTGTCTGCTTGTCATACCTTTCACCCTCCGTAGCTGAAAGGATGAATGTGGAACTTGAGTTCATCTGAATTCTTCAGCTCTGTCATCAGAGCTGTGACACATTCTAATCTTCTGATTCATCTGTGATGAATAAGCACTCCCTTTTCAAGTAACAGTCCTTGGAGTAACTAATTTTGTGAGTTATGATGACTTATTTTTTCATTTTATTACTGAGTTATTATTTTTCCCTCTTAGCAAAGTTAGTCTCCCTCTTTGTACCCAGCGTTAACCCCAAATGCAGAAGAGCCCACTTGGCCGGTAATGTTGCCTGAGCTCCAAGCTGGTTCAGAGTAAAAAAACTGACAACCAGACTTCTGTTTTTAACCCAGCCAGATACCTCAGCTGGCAAGCAGCTCAGCTTCCTCACCATAAAATGGGTATAATAATAGCTTTCCCTTACCGCTGTGAAATATTTAGAATGCAAATCAAGCCAAACCTACCTCCTTCCAAAATGAAGCATAAACCAGCATGCATAATCCTGAATGAGTCCAGATTTCAAGGGAACACCAAGTGGGAAGCACCTAAAGGTGGTATAATTTAGTGGTAAACGTACGTGGACTTTGGAATGGTGCAGACTTACAGGCCAACAGCTGTGTGATTTGGGGTAAGTTTCCTAATTTCTGAAATCTCATCTTTCTCCTAATAAGTTCAGGGTAACAGTATTTCTTCCTTATAGTGTGGGTTCAGGGATTCACTACCAGTGCTTCTCGCCCTTGCACTCAGGCAGACCTCAAATTGAGTGGTCCAACATTCAGGATGCCTACTGGGCACTGCCCAGTGTGCCACAGGCTTTAGGGAGGTATTACCCCTGAAAATACATATGTTTTTTTTTCTTTTTTTTTTTCTTTTCCCTCCTCGGTATGTTCTTGCTTGTTCTGCTAAAGTAGGAGTAATGCAAGGCCAAGAAGAGCATCTGCTTTGTTTCTTCCAAAACATTTAAGAAAAAGTTAATGGGGAAATGGATACGTGCACAAACAACCATTTAAGTTATTTCCCCACAGGGGAAACCAGCCGTCAGGAAAGACTGCCATGTCTTAGTACTGGTGGCTCTGTACAACCCATGTTGCTTGCTCCCTGCACATCCCTGGGCTGACACAGATACAGACTCGAGAAGCCTTTCTTCACCAGATGCCTGAAAGACATCGGGTCCTCTTTGCACCACTGTCATTTCTCCACCCCATACTCCTCTATCCTATTATAGTAACTATGCCATGGACATTTTAAAAGAAATTATCCTGACTGGATAATGGTCAAATTACATTATATGCATCATAGAAGTATTATAATGAAGTCCATTGTTTCATACAATTAATATATGCTAATAATAATGAATGAGGAAAATATTATAAAGGTCCAGACAGATAGAGGTCTAGGGGACCTTAAAGGTGCTTGTGTTTCCATAATCACACATTTTCACCTACTTACAGAGCCCCGTTTTTTAATATTTTCTTTACTCCCAGAATCACATTATGCTTGTTTTAAACTTTCTGAGGGCAAATTTAAAGAACTTTTCTTTGCTTCCTCCCCCAGCCACCCCAAGCCATGGGTAAGCAGCCTGTAGGGGTCATGCATGGGCTCGTTGAAACCTGTTGGTTTTGAACTTTCTCAGACAAGGGTTCTCCTAGGAGCCTGCACCATCTCTACATGCTGAAAGCCACTGCCCTAGAACATTATGTCAATTGAAATTAGGTGAACTAACCATTTCAGTTACAATTAAATTACAACTAGGTCCTCGGAGATTGACACTTTTGGTATCACAAAACTAAGATTAGACATCAATACACATCACTCCTCCTGCCCCTCACTTTGTGAGTGCACACACCGCTGTGTTTTAATGTCCTTAAATATTTGGCCTTCAAAGTTTTAAATCCGTTGCTACACATTTGTGTGTTGAACCTGGAATGTTCGATGCAAATGTTTTAAATCCTATACAAAATTATTCTACTTACTTTTTTGCATTTCATATAAAAACAACTTACAGACATATAAGGAGCATATCACTCAGGTAGAAAGGGCATGTATCAATACATAACAGTTTCAACTGAGCAAAAGTAAATCTATGTAGATTAATACATATTGTAAAAATCACATAGCAGGTTGTAATTCAATCAAGAAGGAGGGACCTCTTTGACAGTTGTGGACATTTATGAATTTTACATGAACTGTGAAATTAAATTTTTAGCCTTAATATTAAATTTAGGAATGCTTTTATTGTTTTGCTTTAATATATCAGGACAAACGTATATCCCCAAAATTTGCAATCTAACTTTGTTTCCTCTTAAGCTGTAATACACGCTGTAATTTTTCTCTCCATCTTAGATTCTTGTCATTGGCAGCCTGTGTATCATTTGACACCAAGGAGTAGTTTGTTAGTCTTCACATGTGTTAGTCAAGTTGATAATGTTCTATCACCGAAATTTGATTTTAACTAATGTTGTGAATAATTGTTCCTTAAAGTTCAAATGTAAAACTTACCTGCTCAGATGTAAGAATAGAAACACCTGATGCAGTTTTCAAAGCTCATAATCCATTTTTGAGCATTATTTGGTTTATAACATGTAATAAATAAGTGATAATTCAGTATATTTTATAGAACAATCACTAATCATATTTCCCCTTTCCCCCTAAAGATTAGAAATTGTGCTCAAAGAATGGGGAAAGAAGAAAAAAAATGAAGATGAGGGATAGGGGAGGAGGTAAAACGGCAAAAATATATACAGTGCAGTACCTCAGTGTCTTGGCTTGTAGAGAAGACATGCATATACAAAACTATAGTCTTGAACACTAGCCCCTTTTGTTTTGTATTTCCAGTTTGTAAAGACTTTTAATTATTCATACATAATCTAATTTCCTGCAGTTTTCATTAACCCTCTCAGTTTAGTGGGAAAATGTTAAAGCGCGAGAGACCCAGGTGTCCCTGGCACTGGTGCACACTGTGAGCCGGGCTGCAGGTTTTCTTCTCAGCTCCTGCTGCCCTGCGGGGATCACCACCATTCGCAGCTGCATAGGAACAGACAGATTTCACACTGACCGCGCAGGGAGCATGTTTCCTGAAAGCATTCTCTACCATGGTTCGTTTGTCCAGAAAACCTGGGAAGTGAGGGCTCTTGAATTTATTTTTCTGCTTTGGCTTTTTCCAGGATGATCCTTCAAGTTACTATCCTTTAACAAACTCATTTTGATACTTTTGGAGGCTCTCTGTGGAGTGGTTAAGAATGTCCTGACAGGTGGCCACAGTTTTGCAATACATATCTGATGTGATATGGGGTTTAGTGGAAAGGCTTCTGTTATCTTGGTTTCTTTGTCTAGAAGAGGATCTTTTTCAACTCTGGTGATATTCCAGTAGTAATGGGTATTTGTTGTGTAGCTTGAGAATGTTGTGTAAGGGAGAATTTTTAAACTTGTAAACATAGGATGTGAAACTATCATGGCGCACTTGCCCCAATCCTGAAAAGTGTCATCATTAGAGCCGTGTTTGGAGTGCCAAAGTTTTTGTTCCAACCACGCTGTCACAATGTCTCCGTCAACAATAGAGCTCTCTGCAGCACAGAAACGTTCTGTGTGAGGTAAAGCCACTGAAAGCCACCCGTGGCTGTTGAACACTTGGAATATGACTAGTGTGACTAAGGATCTGAATATTTTGCTTTTAATTAAAGTTAAAAGAATTTAAGTAGACGAATACTGTACTAAGCAGTATCGCTCTAGTAGAAAAGCTGTCTGTTGGGGATCTGATGAAACGGCAGGAAAGGTCTTGGCAGTTTCTATACTAGGATATACTAGGATATAGGCAGCAGTCAGAGCAAGGAGACTACAACCCTTGAAAATGTCTGAAGCTGGATAGTAATAATGTTGTGCCTGTGGTGACACAATTTGGGAGCAATAAGTCCCATCAATATCTCAAGGTTTTATGTTCCTTGCTGTATTCAGTTTTGTGTTTAATTACTTGTCTTTTCTTTCATTTTCAGTTCTTTGACCACCAGTCTTTTGCCTGTTCCTGCTCTTTATGTAAGTAAAAGTGGTTTCTCTACCTTTAATGAAAGTGTTGGATTTGTGAAGCTCTGGGCTTTGGTGTCGTATTTCCTCGTTGGCTTTCACTGTGGTGTCCAGCATCCATTTAGTATGCTTCAGTGTTTTTCCTGCTTGGAGCTATTAGTTTACTGGTGAGTTGTCCTCTGTGAGAGAGCCCAGCAGCCCAGCCGTTGCCTTCTGAAAAGACTGCCCTTTCCCTCTCTGCAGCTGCTCTTTGCAAAAATCGCTGCTCTTCTGAACTGAAGCTTACAGTCCACAGCCAGATCTCAGCAACAGTTGGGCTTTGCTCCACTGTCAATCAATGGGCAATTATTTATTCTCCAGTTATTCACTCATCCCTAGGTCCAACCATTTTTAATTTTAACTTCTAGATCAGAGCTTTCATTTATTGACAAAATTTATAATATCCTTTTACCAAGAAGTACAATACTGAAAAGTAAATAGGCTAAAAATTTATGCAAAATTATAAAGTCTGGGAAGAAAAATAAAAGAAATCCAGGATTCACATGTGCCAGAAGGTTCAATAGAATGTATCATTCCTTTCCAGAAAAAGATGGGACAGTTTGGGGGGGAGGAAGAAATGCGGGGGACCTTGATTTTAAATGAAAAAGAGAACATTTAATATTTAAAGACCAAACTGAGCCACAGTGAGCAGATTTGGATAAATAGTACTTTAGACTGCTTGGAAGAGGTTCTGGGGCAATGAAACCAAATAATCAAGTCACTACCAGAGGCACCACCTAAGAAACCGTACTGGGAGAGGCAGTCAGCTCATATCCTAAATAACCATGGGTGTCCCTGTAGCTGCATCTCCCTCTGTCCCTTCTTCACACTGCATCACCGACTCTTCACTCTGTGGTAGTTCATGGGTTGTAATGATCTGCACCAAAAGAGGTCTCTGGTTCCACTTGTGTATGGCTTCTAACATCCTAGAAACTTGTAGCAAGCATATTTAAGAAAGTACAATTTACCAAAAAATGCTGAAGTCGAGTGTGATATTTTATCCAATGTAGAAAGGAAATTGATTGATTGATTGATTGATTGATTGATTGATGTAGAACACCAAAGATGGGTCCTGGTGTTCTACAACAGATGAGGTCCTACCTGCCCCTAAGCATTCTTACTGCCGGTTCCATGTTGATAGAGTGGGTCTGCTAATGCTTTGGAGGATGTCTGTGCACGCTCACGGTTACCACTGTGGATCTTCGTCTCCTTCCCTTCCATTGTTATTTAGAACTGCATCTTTCTAGTCCTCTGACTGGCAAATCTTTCTGTAACAGTTCTTTTGTGTAAAAACAATTCGCATAATAGCTCGGTGTTAGACGAGGCATTAATCCTCACATCACCAGAATGAGCCTGGCTCAGCTATTATGACGTCAGCGCTTTAGGACAAGCCTCAGTTACAAACCATGTAGGAGACCTATGTCACTTAGTAGACATTGTTGGGAGACCTGTAGTCCACCTCATAGGAAAGTGTGAGGCTGATTATGTGCTGCCTCAGTCATCAGCAGAGCAGCTCCAAGTAGATCCTTTTTCTTTCTGTCCGTCTTTCTTTTTAAATCTTTAAAGCAGAAGTAAGGCTGGGAAGAGGAAAACCTGTAAGAAGCTAATAGTCCATTCATGTGCTCATGACCTTGTCCCACCCCAGGCCAGGCTTCATGCTTGCTTCACTCTTTAGAAATCCTCAAGTTGCCTGTATGCCAGCAGGATGACAGGGCCAGGAACAGTCTTGTGTCCTCAAGTGCCCCAGCAGACACAGCTGATGGCTCCGGGGTGCTGCCTTAGAGCCCATCCAAAGCAGAAGAAAAGTTCCTTAGGAACAAACCAGGACATTACCCCCCCCCACACACACACACACACACAGTGCCTTTGGTCCCAAGTGCCTCTTCGATGACCTCCCTTGGACAGGTGCAAATGTCAGCCCCTTTTGACTTTTTGTCCTGGGCACTGCATCCAATGTCCGAAACTGGAATTGACCCAGATTTAAATATGAGTTGAATAGATGCCATGCCTTCTTGCAAGAGTTTTCTGTCCCGTTATTCTTCAGCAGAAACAGAAAGGAAAACCATACAACCTGCCATGCTGCCTTGATGAAAAAGACTAGGTTTTGGGAAGCTCAGTCTTGTAAGCTATCCCTCCAGCAGGTGCAGACATGTTCTCAGGACAGTACTTTATAATACTAGCAGTTAATCACTGGAACAGTGGTCATATTTGCCCTTACCGACATTCTCTGCTAAAAAGAGATGCTGCATCGCAGCCTCCTTCCCTCTTTCTCACTCTCACCCCAGCCCCTGTGATAGCCATCAGAAAATGCTTCACCCCGGGATTTTCCACCTTCATTAGATTGCTGGTAGTCTCCTACCATGCTTTGAGAGCTACTGCTACTGCATGACGTGGATCTGATTAATTATTCACAGTCCTTATTTAGTTTTCAGTCAACAAACGTTTATAGAAAGCTTGTAACAGTGCTCGGTTCTGGGAACTCTGAGATAAATGAGAAACACTACCTTTCATTACGAGTGGCACAGGCTGGGGCTGGGGGTACAGCTCACACTAGAGTGCTTGTGGTAGAGCTCAGTGAAGTGGAACAGGAGCACAGGCCTGGGCTTGACCCACGACAATGCAAAAAGAGAAAGAAAAAAGCAGCCCTCCCAGTCTCCACGGGAAGATGAGCACGTGTGTGAAAGCTGTTCTGTGTCAGGCACTGGACTGCAGGGATTTACACGTGCCTACCCATATAGGAGGTGCAAGCTGACTCACGAATGAAAGTGGTGAGTAGGGGTTTACCAAGTGAGCACAAGAGAGAAAAGAAACGGGCTCATTGTCAGGGCAAAAAACAAGCATATTTAAAAGTGTGGAGACGTAAAGTACCTGCCAGATATAGGCATTGAGTACTCTGGTGTGCTAGAGCATGGTGGACTAACAATTAGGCAGGAGTCAGGCCAAAGGGTCTCTGACGCCAAGCAAAGGAGTTTGGACTTGATCTTAGAGCCTTGAAGATATTTTCTAAAAATCTAAAGAAATTGCTTAAGACCTGACCTGTGCAGTAGATGCGGTGGAGAGGAAAGATTATTTAGGAGTACTTTGTAGGCATTAGTAATTGTGTAATTCTAACATGGCTTTATCCACCGAATAATCCTTGCCTTCTGGGAAAAGGATGATGTGCTGTGGTCCCAAACTTAAAGCCAAACCATCCTTATGAGTGCTCCACCGAAGATCTCAGTGTGAGCCTCACCTCCATCTGAGCTGCTGTCTATTGGTCTTGGAATGTGGGAGCGTCTTCTGCCCATAATAAGAATGAGATAGGAGGAAAGAGAATATAGAAAAGACAAAAGCATTTCTTAATAATGGCTCTCTAAAGTCAATCAATCCCCGATTTTCTGTCATCTTTCCATTGCTGCCTTTTTCTAAGCAAAATTTCCAAGCCATTGAACTGAATTGCAACTTATGCATAGCCGGGTGTTGAAACAATTCAGTATATTCATTCCTTCTCTCTGAATTAGAGTTCACCATAAGTGTGCTTTTCTCTTGTTCACTTTGGGCTGCCAGGACAATTTAAAGGAGAATTTCAGCAGCTTGTGTCTCAAGTACCATGTTCTCTTTGCAAACTGGAGTATATGTGTAGGCGTGTTTAAGTTGTCTCTATATTGCTTTCTAGAAAGGTTTGAGAAGATGAACAAGACGAGGAGTAGGGACCTATTAAAAGACCGGCTCCCCCAGTGACCTGAGTGCAGAACGTAGGCTGGTGATCAGATGGTCAATTATGTGTTTGTCAAAACACAGTGGGCTGCATTCCAGACTGCCAGCTTTGGAGGCCCAGCTTCTGCCAACCAAATGTCATCTGGGAACATGCAACACTGGGCACTGTGAAGGAGTTTGAAATAGACCATGCCACAGCCAACCTACTGCCAGTCTTATAGCACCAATATGGCATGCACAGCCGGGCCCCATGTTTCAGAGCTCAGGAATTCACTGTACTCAATTCAAGGGGTCAGATGGGTTCATGTTTTCAAAGCCTATGTTCTCTGCTTTGAACACTGTGACTTGTTCCTCAGCAATTTCCAAGGGATTTTTCCAGTCACATCTCTGTGGAAACCACTCTTTTTGCAATGGTTTTGAGAGCCTTGTAAAATGTCCCGGAGGATGGGGCGGGGGGGGGGGGGGGGGGGGCGGGGTAGCAAACCTGCTCTGACAATGACTGTGACTCCTATGAGGGATTCCAGCTCCAAGGAAATCACATTAAAGGTGCATAGCTTTTAAAATATCAGGAACCACCTTGGCAACTTATAAAAAGCAGAAGGGCTTTGCCTATTTTATAAAGTGATTTGCATATACCTGCATAAATAATGTCCCCACCTGTACTTTCATGCATTTAGGTTGAATAAATTAAATTCAGTGATCTTTAAAATATTCTGTGTCTTTCATTGCTCAGACACCATTTTCAAGACCCTTCCTCTTCATTTCCCCGCCCTGTGGTTGTAATGACTGTTTAATTTTTAATCTTTTGGCTAATTCTGAAAACTAAAGTATACTGCAGACCAGTCCACCACAACCAGGGACATTATCTCCCTCTGCTTGAATTTCTCTTTCCTTTCTATCACTGGACCAAGAGTTCTATTTTTTTCACAAGAGAAAATGAAGGAGAATATTATTCATGTGAAAGCATAGCCCAAGAAAGTATTAATACTCAGCTCAGATATCTTAGCTTTATATTATTTTTCTATTAGCCTTTTCTTTCCTTCCTTTTCTCCTTCCTTCACGCTCTTGCTACCGTGCTGTTTCTCTCTGTCTCTTAACAAGGTTGTTGTGTAGCACTGGGTTACAGACCTGTGCCACCATAAGTGGGTTAATCTTTGCTTTCTTTGGCCATTCCAGTGCCCATTCAGAAACTACCTGTCTACTAACTTCTAACAAAGAGTTATGACTTGGGCTTTCACATCAGAGACTGTTCAGTAGACTAGCCCCAACCACATTCA